TAAAGTAAAGGAATAAAGAAAAAGAGAGCTTTCCCCCTCTCCTCCTGCCCTCACCTCTGCTCCAGAGCCCAGAGAACTGTGCTCTGAGGAGCGTGTCTTAGTTGGTGTCTTAGCTGTAGCACAGCCTGTTCTGAATACAAGCAGTATCTGAGATACTGGCACCGCAGGCCTTCAGAATTCCCTCTGGCTGACCCCTTCAACAGACTGAAGAGATTTTTTTTTTTACAACGACCTTGAAACAAACTGGGGGGGGGGGATTCAAGACCTTAAGGAAAGACAAAGCGCAAACATGCATCTGGTTCAGAATTTTGTAGGAGACACGCACACGCATCCCCAACGCACGCATTTCTTGCAGCAAGACATTTCCTAAGAGTCAACAATAACAGAAAACAAACCCACCTCTTGCTGTCCTGGAAAGAAACAAACAGAATTAAAACAAATCCTTTGAACAGTTCTCTCAAGTGCAAGACAGCCTCAGTTCAGTAAAAGTCCAAGAAAAAAGGAAAACGGCACCGAAGGAAAAAAGTGGGGGTTGGGATTGCCATAGATAACCAAAAATGTAAGCTACTTCCAATAGTACCGCTATTGAAATAATATATCTTTAAAATGCTCGAGCGATTAGATAGGGAAAGAAAACACACACACACACACACACACACACACACACACACACACCCCAGCTAAAGACGGGTCCTAGGATTTACGTAACACCACAAACTTGCAAAAGGCAAAAATCAGAAGCAAGAATCCAAAAATCAAAATAGAACCACCAGAAGCCCCGAGCAACCACACCGAAACAAAAAGTCAAACCCCCAAAACATCTCCCACCTCTCCCCTCCCCGCCCCAAATAAAAATAAAGCAAATGAACCCACCGAAATTGCTTGGCAAATATTTTTCTCGTGGTGCCTAATATTCTAGCTAGAAAAGCTGTGTTTATTGTCCCCCCCCCACCTCTCTCTAAACCTATAAGGAATATCATTGTTCCAATGGTTCAAATTTCTCGTTCCCTTTTGTGTATTTAGCTCCAGGAGCTGAATTTATGGGTAAGAGAGGAAGAATTAGCCCCAGACCCCGGGAAAGCAAAGCGCACTCCCCCTCTTATGTCACCGAATAGCAAATTAGTTCTCAGAATTCCAGAGGCCGAGCTTTGCTACAGTGAAGACGTGACGTCACAGAGGAGGAGCCCACGTGACGGTGGCGGAGCAGATCGAACCATTATGCGGGGTTCTGGGAGGGAGAGCTACTTTCTGTCCCCCCCGACCTTCGGAAGGAAACATCCATATCCAAGGCGATTATCCTATAAGAAACTCAAAACATGAAGGACAGTGAGAAAATTTTGTGCCTTGGAGCTAATTTTATGGGCCAAAGGGGGTAAAAATTGCGGCGAGCTGACACGGAGTCCTCCCCTGCCACATAGCAGTGGTAAAGTCCGCAGCTCAAATTCCGAGAATTGAGCTCTGTTGATTCTTAGAACTGGGGTTCTTAGAAGTGGTGATGCAAGAAGTTTCTAGGAAAGGCCGGACACCAGGTGATTATTGCTGTTGCTGCCGCCGCCGCTGCCGCTGCCGCCGCCGCCGTTGCCGCTGCTGTCGCCGCCGCTGCTCATGATCATTATTTTACCTTTTAATTCTTTTTTTTTCCGCTTTTGCCAAATGCTTTGGCTCCAAGTTTCCTATGTGTATCTATTGATATAAATGTATATATTTATTTATTCTAGCTGTCAGGTGTTAAAATAAATGCCGAAGACTAGTCCCACGTCTCTCCCACTCTAGGACATAGATTTATATGTATTTATTAGTATTATTATTTTTGTTGTCTTTGAGTGAATCGGCCGGTTTGGGGAGGCTTTTGCCACCCTCCCTTAGATTGTTTTGGTTTTTTGAGAAGGAGGTGGAGGAGAGAAGGAGGGGAGCTAGGGGGCGGCCGTAGCGGAGAGGAATAGGCAGTGTTTCGGGGTGATCCGGGCCGGTCTGGGGGCTGTCTGGCCTCGGACCGCGGAGAGGACGCGCTCGCGCTCTCGCTTTCTGCTGCTGCTCGCGTTCGGCTTGTGATCGCGCTGGATTCGTGCGGCTGTTCTCTCTCCCTCTCTGCTGGCTTGCAAAGCTCCTTCCTTGCTTCCCGGCTCCAGGCTCCCCTTCCCTCCTACCCTTCTCCTCTCCGGCCTCTCCTTCCTTCCCCGATCCGGTGCTCCTGGGCAACTGCCCGTTGCCTGCTTGCCCGCCCGGGTGGCTCCCTTCCCCCGGCTTTGGTCCCTTACGATCCCTGCCTTCCATCCGAGCTGAGATTTGGGAGGAAAAATGCAACCTAACTCCTTCCTCGGGTGTTTTTTTTTTTTTTCTTCTTCTCCTTTCTGGTCATAAACACAGATGAAGTATCGTGTCTACTCTTTTCCTTTCAGAGCTGTGATCTTCCTAAATGAGAGACGAATGTTTTCGGTGTCCCTTTCCTCTTGTGTTTTGGGGAGGTTTTCAGCTTGGATGGGGGGGGGGACGGGGATGTTGAATACTTTTTGAAAATTATTCTTTCTTGGTTGTAGTCGAGGGAGTCGGGACACTCCGTGCGCTCCCTCTGCCCATCCCGTGCAGAGAGGCTGATGGCGGGACGGGAATTTGGGGGTGTGGGGGCGGGAAAGGGGTGCGCGTTTGCACCTGCGGCGCCTTCCAGCGTGCAGGGACGAGGGGAACATTGACAGGACAACCCAGCCGAGAGAGCGAGAAGCTGGCGGGTTTTCTGGCGGCCGCGGTGTTTGTGTTTTGGGCGCTGCGTGACTGTGTTGGTTCTCTACGGTTGTTCCCTCCCTTTTCTAAATTTTATTTTATTTTTCTCATGGTGCAAGGTCTGTAAAAAAAGGCAAACTGTAGGCCTGAGTATAGCGGACTCCAGGCTTCAGGTTCCCAAGGTCCTTGCATCGGGCAAAAGGAAAGACAAACAGGGCCCCAGCCCGCGGTCCTCAAAGTGCAAGACCCGGGAGCAAAGAAGGGGACTTTGTGGCTCGGACTGGGGGACCCGGCGCGGGAGGAGTGGGCGAGGGCGTGAGAGGGAGAGCTATGTGAGTGATTTTGCAAAGAAGAAGGAAAAAGAAAAGAAAAGAAAAGAAAAAAATGATCGCGAGGTTGGTTGGATTTGCAACCTGTAGCTCTCCTCCTCTAGGGAGGAGAAATGGGGGAAGGCGGCCGCGGCGGGCCAGGGCCGGAGTGGGCAGCGAGTTGGAGCTTCTGTAATGGGCCGCGCTGGGGGCGGGAGGACCGAGGGGCACCCCAGTCCGGAGGTAGTGACCGTGGCACTGAAAATGTCTTGGAGAACTTGGGGCTGCTTTACCTTTATGCTACCGTGTTATCGGAACTCTGGAGGAAAAAAAAATGGAACTCGTGTTGCAATACTGACTTTTAAAACTCCCCAAGGAAATCAAAAGCGTAACCAAATGGGTTTTTATGAAATGATCTTCTGTGTTGTGCCCCCTCCTGCAGAGGGTAAGACTTGGTGGGGGTACACTGGCCGTCCTGACAGTCGAGCTGGTAGAATGCCCCCCAACCTGCTCCAAAAGCTGTGCCACGGTCTCTGACACCTCCGAGGCCGATCATCTCTCCCAGGAAAGTGTGCAGTCTTTTCTATGCTTGTGTTTTACTTCAATCAGTGTATAGTTTCCAGGAGGGAAATCCTATGACGCTTTCTTTACTTCACAAAAAATTTTAAGTGAATGTCAGTAGATACATTTTTTTTTACTGTCCAGAAAAGAAACTGGGGCAGGAGAGACGGAACCAGGGAAAGGGCTGTTTAGAAATACAGTTTGTGGCTGCCAGCGATGCCACTGGCTTCCTCTACAGAGACAGCCGGTTTCCCTTTTT